GTCTACGCTTTCTGATACGCTTGATCATTACGCAAAAGAAATGCTACTACAAAAGAACCAAAATCTGCCAAGCAAATTAAATGACGCGAATTTTAACGCCCGTTCGCAGGTGCATTTGCACGCGCGCTCGCGTGCGCGCTCGCCTACGCGCTCGCCCTTCGAGCCGGTAGGAAGCACGAGTCCGCCGTCGACAAGTCCGCACAGTGACGGACAAAATGTCACGTCACAATATATATATAATATAACCAATATAACCAATCATTTATAAATTTTTAAGATTAGAAACATTATTATAAAACAAGATTTGCCATATTTGCTTCTTTCTGAAAAGAAAATTGTAGTTTTCTTTTTTATATAATTTGAAAAAAAATGGCTTTTTTAAAACTATAATTTTTGTGTTTTATGTTGAAAAAAATCACAATGACAAATAATGTACTATTAAAATATTTATCTTAAGATTAGATGATTTAATTATTTTAGATACCTTTAATAACAATTGACAATTCGGAAGAGATTTATGTAGAAGAACCATTAGAGAAACGAGTAAAACTTTCAACAGATTTGGATATTAACCCATTACCGACCGGTTCATTCAATGAAATCGAAGAAATGCCAAGCACAAGTTATAACAGTGGCGCTATTCGAAATAACATTGTTGACACTGTTTTAAATGCAAACGATATCATTAATCTTGATAAAATCTCTTAAGTACACATATTATCTTAAAAATCTCTTAAATACACACATTATAGGAAGAGCCATACTATTAAAATATGAAAAAGAAAACATCATCGATAATAAAGATCGCAATAATTTATGCGATATTATTATGTCACTTTTTGAATGAAGGGAAACGACTAAATAATGCATCATTGAGTGTTCTGGCTGATAAAATAATTTATATTTTTCGAGGAGAAAGTAGATTTACATATTATGTGAGTCCTATCCGTAAAAATAAATCACATTATAACAAGCCAGAAGTTGCTAGAGGAAAGTTAGTCGATAAACATAGAAATAAACTGACCATGATAAGAAAAACTTTTGCAGCTTCCACTTCAAGAGTACAGATAAAATCAAGTAAATTTATACCATTCTGAATTACAAGAGTTGTCTATTATTACCGTACAATATTATATTGTAAAATTTCAGATATATCAAAGGAAGCAAGAGACGGTCAGATATGGCTAATGCATAACAATGAACCCAAAGATGATGTTTTATATCATTGGAAAATATCTCTTCCTATTAGGGAAATGGCAATGTTATCACTAAATGAATTTTTTGAACAGCGGCCTATTTTAAAAACACAAGCTGTGTTTAGGCTAGAAATAGAACCTGATAGACTCGCAAAGACTAGGTACTTCGTTGCTTTATTTCTATCACAAATCAGATACAAAATGAACTTGCAAATCTGCACGCACGTGTGTTGTTCGCAGTAGTCAAACATAAACATAACTTATATATACCAAAAGGAACGAAGAGTGTTTTATGGCGATTGCAACGCGGCGTGTGTGATGAAAACTCAAACAAAATTAAACGAATCAAAATACCGATTATTGGCTTCTACATACCGCCCACCAAATTAGAGTAACTAATTTTTAAACCGTCGGAATTGTTCGGCAATTTACATAGTTTAACAATTGGACGCTTTAGAATGCCATTCGCAGTACGCACCGAAACGACGCGAACTAATCTATCTTTGCCGGGATGGATCTCTACGATTCGTCCTAACTTCCATTTCAAGGGCGGAAGGTTGTCATCGCGAATTGTAACGAGATCATTAACGTTAAATTGGGTTGAGCGGACTTTCATTTTGGGCGTCCCTGCAAATGAGATAGGTATTCTGCCGTCCACCGTTTCCAAAAATCCTGGAGTACGCGTTGGGTCAGTTGCCAACGAGTCAGTCGATTCGTTGCGCCCTCCGTGACATCGAGATCAGGTAAACTTGTTAAAGGGCCTCCAACCAAGAAATGTGCCGGGGTCAGAGGTTTCAAATCATCAGGATCGCTGGACATTGGAATTAGAGGTCTTGAATTAAGACACGCCTCTATTTGAGTCAGTGCCGTAGTTAACTCCTCGAACGTGAAAAGAACGTTGCCCATAATTCTCTTGAGATGATACTTCCATGATTTTATGCCCGCCTCCCAGAGACCGCCCATATGAGGAGCGTTAGGAGGGAGAAACTTCCAGTTGATTCCTTCGTTGACGAGAGCAAATCCCCGGCGTCGGATGCGAGTTGTGACCTTACGAATCCTTGTATACTCTCTAACTCGCGATTGGCTCCGACAAAATTTGTGCCATTATCGCTCCAAATTTCCTTCGGGCATCCTCTTCTGCTCACGAATCGTCGCAAAGTGGCTAAAAAGGCTGCGGTTGACAATTCACTGGTTGCCTCCAAGTGTATCGCCTTGGTAGCGAAACATATAAACAATGCGATATAAGACTTGTTCGTCTTTCGGCCGCGACCCTTGTTGACCAGTGTAATGATCGGCCCGGCAAAGTCCACTCCAGTAACGTGGAAACAACGACTTGGTTGTACCCGTTTGTCGGGTAATGCGCCCATAAATTGCGTGGAGGCTCCTGGGTTGACTCGAGAGCAACGCACGCAGTTCCGGCACACTGAGCGGGACAAAGATTTTCCCTTCAGTGGCCAGTAATGTTCTCGAATGGTATTCAATAGCAACTGTTGATTTGCGTGAAGTAGTCTCACGTGCTCTCTTTCAAACAAGAATTTGATAAATCGATCATTCGACGGCAGTAATATTGGATGTTTTCGCTCAAATTTCCAATCGGTACGTTGCAAATGACCTCCCACTCGGAGTATGTTATTTTCGTCAAGAAAGGGAGCTAACGTTGCAAGCTTGTCCGATGGTTTTACGAAACGATTGGTCTTCAACGTAGAAATTGAATCGTGGAAATGCTTGGATTGCACGTGCTGGATGATGCTACGATGTGCCATTCGTACCTTGGTAATTGATAATCGACCTGCCGCTCGTTCGGAGGCTTTCTTTCTGGCATTTGACGCAAATCGCTTGCAATATGCGAGTACGTGATCGATCTTGGTCAACGAAGACATATTTTCTAATAACATCTGAATACCTGGTTGTCCTTGAACGATGATCTGACATGCTCATTTCTCCTTACGTCTTTCCGTCATAATGGATTCGTGAGCCTCCATCGAAGGCTCGGTTATACAGTTATCGTCGGAAATCGTTTCTGTTGTGAGCAGTCACGACGGTCCCGCCCACCAGAAGTGCAGATCCTCGAGTTTGCTCGGGCTGACGCCGCGCGATATCACATCAGCTGGGTTCTCCTTGCCGCTTACATGACTCCAACGTGTTGCTGGCAAGGTTTCGATGATTTCAGTCACCCTGTTGCACACAAACGGCTTCCAACGTGATGGGTCACCCTTGATCCAATACAGAGTGATTTCGGAGTCTGACTATGCTCGTACGTTCTCAATCGGTACCTGAATGGCCGAGCGAATGATAATAAGTAATCGCGCTAGCAATACGGCGCCGCACAGTTCCAATCGCGGCAGTGAAACCGTCTTCATCGGAGCTATGCATGATTTTGAACACAACAACCTGGAATTGAATTCTCTTTGAGCGTTTTTAGCCTGCACATATACACAGGCGCCATAGGCGAGCTCAGACGCATCGCAAAACCCATGCAGGATCAATCGTCGTGTATCATCACAGGCGACGACGCATCGTGGAACTTGTACTCTTCCTATAGCCATCAGCTCGTCGCTAAACTTCTTCCATCTGCGAAGCAATTCGTCGGGAAGCTGGTCGTCCCAGTTACAATCTATCTTCCACATCTCTTGCATGAATTATTTAGCTCGAGTAATGATCGGTCCTACCAATCCTAACGGATCAAAAAACTTGCTGATTGTAGAGGACATTCGTCATTTGGTGTTCACCGCTTTGAGTTCGCGCATTGTAAATTGGAATGTATCTTCCTTTGGGTTCCACTCTAAGCCGAGAGCCTTTATTGTTGATGCTAAGTGTCGTAATCGTCTCATTTTCACCTTGAGAGACTGGCTAGAACTTCCGCAACATTCGAACACCACTTATGAGCTTGAAACCCTTCGAATTTTAACAACTCCGTGGCTAGAACTTCCGCAACATTCGAACACCACTTGTGAGCTTGAAACCCTTCGAATTTTAACAACTCCGTGATTTCTTCTTGCAATACAATGGCGCTCCTGACGTCTTCGGCACCGGTCATGATGTCATCTACATATATTTCTTCACGCAAAATTCTAGAAGCGTCAGGGTACTCGCGTTCCCCTAACTCCGCGAGTCTATATATACATTTAGTGGCCAAGTAAGATGAGCTCGCTTCTCCATACGTGACGGTATTTAACCTATACTCTTCAATCGGTTCATCTGGAGACCGTCTCCACAAAACTCTCTGATAATCGCGGTCTTGTGGCTCGACGACTACTTGGCGATACATTTGTCTTATATCTCCGGTCAGCGCAACTTTATGTATACGAAATCGAATCATTATCTCCAGTAGACATTTTTGAACAGTTGGACCGACCATCAATATATCGTTAAGTGATTTACCGGAGCTTGTCTTGCTCGATGCATCGAAAACTACGCGCAATCTGGTTGTAGTACTATCCTCCTTTACGACACCATGATGTGGCAAATATACTATCGATGGATCAACCTTGTGCTCCCCATTGACAACTCGCGACATGTGACCTAGCTCTTCGTATTCGCGCATGAAATTTGCATATTGCTCATGCCATGAAACGCTGCTCCTGAACCGGCATTCCATTTGTTTCAATCGCTTCTCAGCGATATCCCTTGACTCTCCTAAAGGTTCCGCGCTTTCGATAATCGGCAAACTGACTATAAATCGACCACTATCATCGCGCTTAGCGGTTTTATCGAATAATTCTTCGCATCGTCGCTCAATCTCGGATCGGATCGTGGCCGTCTCCGGACCGCCTTGTTCAACCGCCCAAAATCGTTTGAGAGCTTTATTGAGAGATTCGCATTGTTGTGCGGAACAACATAGTGATGCGACCTTATTGGTACTTGTGGTAATCGAATTCGATGATAATGCAATGGCAACGATCCACCCGAGCCTTGTATTCTGTACAATCGGGCGATCAACGCCAAGCTCTATCTTACCCGTTTCTAACAATTCGTAAAAATATTCGGCTCCTAGCAATATGTCAACAGCGCCGGGTTTATGAAATTCGCGATCTGCTAGCTTCAAATTCGACGGAATTTGCAACTCTTCGCGAGACATTTCAATCGGTGGCAAATCTTTCGTTATCCTTGGAACGATAAGACAATGTACATTGATGCAGAAATTAGAATGGTTCAATTGTAAAACGATATCGCATACTTCTTGTATCGGCGTTTCACTCTCGTTTATACCCGTAACAACTTCTGTCGCATGACTTCGTTTGACGCCTATTAGGGCTGCGTTCGGAAATATCACTCGTTGGTGTGCTCCGGTGATTTCGGTGGAGAAGTAGTGGGGGTTTCGTGTGCCTTTGAGTGTTTCCGAACGCTTCCTTATCACTTTGTGTAAAAATGGACGACGAACGCCGCCGAAGAAATGTTATCGTTGCAACTGGTGTAATAGCTGGTAATAATTTATTACGATCAATTATTGAAAAACATAAGCATGAGGAGAAAAGTGATGACGAATGGATTCAAGAGATCAGTGTGTTCGAAGGCCGAGTTCATATCCGGAAAGATTTGAAGCTTGTTACGAGAATTAAGGGTTATGTCACTACAACAATACGTGACTACTCAGGAAGGCAATTCAGAGAACATTTTCGAGTGACTAGAACAACGTATGAAAATTTAGAACAATTATTGGCACCTGATTTAGTAAGGTCAGCAGAAATTGGAAGATTTACTTTAGCTGTCCGAACACAGTTACTCGCAGTTTTGTGGCTGCTTGCAACTCCTGATTCATTCAGGTAAGTTCATTTCAAATGGTTGTTCAATTTCACGCAATTTTTGTATTGTATAAAGGAAATATAACGCCTGACTCTTACTTATAGATCTGTGTCCAATCGCTTTGGCATTAGTAAATCATTGTTACATGATTCTATGAGAAGAGTTGTGGCTGCTTTGAATAATTTAGCAGATAGGTTTATTAAATGGCCTATTGATGATCAATTAAATGAAGTCAAACATGGATTTTCAAGAATTGGTTCTCTTCCTGATGTGATCGGGGCAATTGATGGATGTCACATTCCTATTCCAGCACCCACAGTAAATTATTTATATGAATTCATATAAAGCATTTAAAAATATTCTTGCCTATTATCAAATCTTGTATTTTGTACAGGTTCATCCTATCTTCTATAGGACAAGAAAGAAAGAGTATGCCATATCACTACAGGCAGTGTGTGATGCAAACTTAAAATTCACAGATTGTTTTGTCGGATTTGCTGGGTCTGTTCATGATGCTAGGATTTTCAGGAACTCTGATCTCTGGCATGCAGTAACAGCAAATGAAAACGCCTTTTTTCCTAACAACGAATTCATTATAGGCGATAAAGCGTATCCGGTACTGCCGTGGTGTTTAACTCCATATATCAACAGAGGCAATTTAACTGAGGTATGACTATATTGACTATATTCTTTGATGTCTGTATAATACGTTGCTTTAACTGAATCTTATTCTTTTGTTTGTAAAGGCATAAAATAATTGTAATATGCATCTATCCAAAATGAGACAGGTTATTGAAAGAGCTTTTGCCCTTCTTAAAGGAAGATTTCGACGGCTAAAATATTTGCACATGAGTTGCGCTGATCTAATACCTTATGTCATCTTGGCATGTTGTATTCTTCACAATATTTGCCTCGAAGGTTGTGAAGAAGCAGAAGAAGACATAGATAATTTTATATGTGACGGTATAGAACAAGATGCTGATAATAACAATGTGAATAGAGTTATCCCTGATCGATTACCTAACGATGAAAGAGGACTGCTTCGTCGTGATTATTTAACAGCTCTTATAGCACATATTGTACCATAAATAGGCTGCGTGCAGTATCTAAGAGATCAAAAAGATATGTTAAGACGTCTTTTAAATATGCATTATCTAAAAGATGTTTTTAAGATATATTTTGATATATAATAGTATAGTTATATAGTATAGTTATATATAATAGTATATATACTATTATAATATAGTATAGTATAGTATATATACTATATATAATATAGTATAGTATATATTTTTATATATAATAGTGGATATAGTACAGTATTGTAGTACAATATTTATCGACAGAGTACATATATGAATTTAAAAAACTTATAATGTACAAAAGTTTTTCTGAATGTTCAGTACACATACAGATAAACAATACAAAAAATCCTTTTAAATCCTTTTAATTCTTATAAAATTCTTTTATACAGTAACATTTTACAAACTTTAGCAACAGTATATTATATAAAGTAAGAAAAGGAATGCGATGACATCACAAGATACTTGTATATATTAGCATAAGTCTTTATCACAGTCTTTATGCAGTCTGTATGCAGAATCTGAGCATTGAGCAAAGTTCATTTTTATATTTAAGATTATTAATTATCCTAACATACTGAGAACCGAAGTCATAATAGTATCTTAAGACAATATTTAAGATAATCTTTGAATCGAAACGGGCTACTGCTCATTAATTTTACATCACACAAGTATTCTAAAACATTTATATCAATTTAATTAAATCTATTAATACTTAACTTTAGAATTAATACTGGTCAAAGAAACATTCATAACATTCAATAAACATAAAATAAAATAAATTTAGTTTTTCATTACTTAAAAGACTATTTTTCATAAGAAATATTACGATGTTTAGCAGTAAAAACCAGTAACAACAAAAATCTTAGAAGCTCACAATTTATCGATCAATTTCCCCATGACCTCTTTGTACACTTCAATCGCTGCCTTTGATTCAGCTATAGCTTCTTTATGACGTCGCTCCTTAGCTTCCTCTCGAACTTTCACATCGGCAAGAAGAGCAGCAGACCAATCTTTCAGCTCTCGTTGAACTCTGGTCATCCTTTTCTTTTGTTTAGGAGTTTCTTGGGTCTGGATCGATGACTCAGAACTTTCATTCACTTTCTCAAAATCATTTTCTTTTTTAGAACTTAATGTTCTCTTCCTATTAAGATTAGAGGCGATAGCAATCGGTTTAACACATGGCTTTTCGCCCAAAACCTCTTCTAATTCTTTAAAAAATTTGCAAGTTTTAGGATCATTCCCAGACTTGTTATTGTGATCTTTTGTTTCCATGTATTTCCGTTTTAAATCTTTCCACTTGTTTTCGCATTGAATAGGAGTTTTTTTGTTCCATATAGGAGAGGCTTTTTTTAATTCTTGGCAGATTAGAGTCCACACATTTCGACTCTTCTTACTTTTGAAATTATTTTGGTGGTCTCGCCAAAGATAAATAAGATATTTAACTTCATTGTCATCTTTCCAACAGGCTGTAGATGAGACTGTAGAAATTACACACACATTGATATTAGTATTTCATGAGTATAAATTGACCTTATTACTATTGGATACAAAACACTCTCAACATTGATATAATAGAAAAACTCTAAGCACTGGTCGCTATGAGTGGCTGTATTCAATCATAATGTGGTCAATTAGGATTTTTCTTTTCCCTTTAAATATATCAAAATATTTCCTGCATGCTTTGTAAAAGATTAAAGGAAAACGTTTACCTGTTGACTCACTCTGTTCATTAGTGTTAGAATTATTTAAACTGCCGTTGTCGGGTATGGACGATTTCTCATCAGAAATAAATTGCAGGTTAAAGAACTTTAACGTCTCCTCACATACAGGTACAGTAAAAATGTTATCTACATGATAAAACAATTATTACATTTCTACAAATGATTATGTAACATATAATATGCAATCAATGTTGTAAAAAAATACTGTTTTAGATTTATACAAAAATCTTATTCTTATTCTATTCAAACCAAAGCATGCAAAAGAATTTCAAATTTTGCAATTATTGTTCATATGGTTTCAATGCTAATAATATAATAACTAATATGTATATATATATATATAT